TCGCAGTAAATCCTTGGCGAGCTGAGTTAAAATGGGTAATTTGGCAGAGGAATTTATCCAATGTGATATATTCGATCGAAGCGTGTAGGCCGAGGTTCAGATCGTTGTCTGGGCAGACAGACATTTCCTCAAGGTCTAATTGGTGAGAACGATAGTTGATGTATGTTGAGGCACAGTGAAAGTGCATCAGTCGACAACGATTACTTTTCCGGACACCCGTCGAGGTAACGAATGTCCACACAAAATTAGGTGAGAGGTAATCCAGATGTCGTGTCTCACATCGGAGAAAGCGGATCGGGGAGCGGCGCGAAAAGCGTAGACCCAAACGGCTTGTGGGTCCGTCACAGAAATAGCGAGCAGAACACAAAACGTCCGTCCTTCCAAGGACGTGACGAAAGTGCTTGAGGCGGCCAAGGTATGCATCGCGATAGAGTTTCGCGCGAACCGAAAGGTACTGTACCTCGATTTGTGCCAGTTGTAGCTGTCCGGAGAAAAAGAAAGACCATACGGCTGAATCTCATTGCCAAGTAGTTGTTTGAAGGTACAGGCACCGACAGCGGATTGGGTGAAGCACCCAGTCTTGAGGACGAGAGATACTTTTCCTCGTCTGGTGTCCAAGTAGCTCAGGGCAAGTTACCCTCGGCTACAACAGACTTTCTGCTTGATGGCAGAGTCAAACCGCTGTTTTCGGGCTGCTTCTAGGCGTAAGATGATGAGACAGCATTTTTTGGTATTACCTTTAAGTAACAATCAGTTAGGAGGCTGAAGAACGGCGCAGTCACAGCAATTGTCTAATGAAATCTTCCGTAATAATTAAACCATGCCAAGCGAATATCGTCCAGGATTCTGTTAACGATTCGGGGCAGTGCGGATAGTGCCAGTGATTGCGCTGGGTTGTTCCCTCAGGGCGATGGGACAAAATGCCTTTGCTACATCGCTTTTGTGCACACGAATGACAAAATCGACGGAACACATTGACGCAAATAGATGGCATTTAATCCCAGGATTAAGTGGTTATCCGACGTGAGAGTGCGTCGAGAACGGTGTTCAATACTTGTCGGTAGGTGAATTCAAAGTATGCTCTTCTCTCTCTGTGAGCGGGTGGCCACTGGGCCTATGAGAACATCGTCCGAAAAAATTTTTTCTTTGGTTCGTAATAAACAAAAAAAGACAACAAAAACAAAAGGTCTAGATCCAGCGGAGGACCTGGGTCCTGATGCGCTGTGGAAGGGCGACTGTGCCGCTATATGCGAAGTGCCCAAAGGGCATACGAGTGAAACTCCGTACAAACCGAAAGGTGTGAGATAAACCGGCCGTTTTAGTGCAATGTCCTCAGATGCCATATGCGGAAATTCGATTGAGGTACGCTCCCGTAACAAGGTCCCCAACATCTGAACAGAGAGGACTGAATTTCCACAACCCCCCCCCTCCCTCCCGGACAATCCCAATGAAGAAATCAGAATATGAGGATAGGGTATCTGATCGGGAATCGGGGGCAGTAACACGCGTTTGAGTGGCCCGGTAGAACCACCGCATGGACGCCAATCCAGCCGGACTTTTTTGGGTACAAGATGGAAGCGGAGGAAGCCCAACTAACTGATTTGAGACGGGCGAATGAATTCCGAGGATTGATGCAATGTGCTCGAATTTCGCGTTTAGAAGCCGCTTGGAGCGTTGTCAGGTGGAAGACGTCTCGGTTTTGGCTGAGCACGGTGAGAACCTGTGGTGAACGATAATGATCGACACGACCTCCGTGTTTAGGCTCGGAGGAGAGGTCGTATTCAAGAACGAGGACCGAAAGACGTGAAATTGCGAGAGCAATGATGAATACGGCGGTCAGAGTCCTGGCATGAGTATAACGCGAATGTTCCAATGAATGACTGGGGCGAGATGGCAAGGGACATGTGAGCGAAAGTGCGTGTCGTATCCCGTAACTTCCTGCAACGAAGGTCACACACACACAGACAAAACGGGTGAGCGCCCGAATTTGCTAAGGAAGTCGATGCCCAAAGTATGGGTTTTTATCATGGACATGTCAAGCGATGTAAAGATAAAAGGAAAGTCGGCGTCGTAAACCCTAGGCTGTAGGTTGTAACTACTTCTGGCCGTATGTCGCGCGATCTTTGGGTCTGGTTAGACCGACCCCCTGTAACGTGAGATCTCAGGGCGGTACGGCGGTGAGACGAGCTGATAATTTGCGCGGGCGATCGAGCGCCGCCCAGGGGCCGGTAGTCACCGCGGATCGGGCCCGATGCTGCTCTTGCGCTCCTCCATTCAGTCACGCGCGCATGGATGGCGCGCGGTCAGCTCGGGCGGGCGGCGGGTAGGTCGATTCGTTATCTCTTAGTCAACGTAATCGCTGCGCGCGCGCGCGGCAGGGTTGCGCACCTGCCAACGTAGCTCCGCCAATGTTCCACAGTGGATTCCAGGGGACTCCGCGCCGATTTTGGTCCCCGATAGGGTGGAGAATAAAAGTAGCCAAAAGTTTATCGAGCGTTGCGTTTAGGGACGGGCGATGCGCCGAGTCTGCTCGCGGGGTCCGCGTCCGGGGCGGAAGTGCGGTCAGAAGTTCTTGCGTGCGGAAAGGCCGGCGCGCCGGCGATCCTCGTACCGGTGGTGGACGCAGGTAACGCCGCGGCGCGGCGGCTCCGGCGGTGCCTCCCGTCGGCTTGGTCCGGCAAAGTGCGCTGGCGAACGCGCCCGGCGAGAAGGGCGGGTGTGCGAGCGCCCTTCCTTCTCTTGACCGCGAAGGGAAGAAAAATCGGCACGATCGGTGGTGGACGGTTCTACCTGCAATCGTGCCGACGCTGCGGGCCCGGGGGACAGCTGGAAACCCATGGATAATTGACCCTTCAATTGAGCGCCTTGCTGGTTGTCTCGTGGAAAAAACGCGATCTTGTCTCTTCCGGATTCTAGTTCGGGGGCAGGTCAGATGAGTGAGCTGAGAGCCAGGTACGCCCGTTTGCCTCTGATCCCACCGGCCGCCAGGCGCTCTGAACGTTCTTCCGCGTTCTTTCACGACTGGGGGGTGCGGTCGTTCGTCCCCGACTTTCTACGTTCCTTGTTCTGAGTGTCGGGGGTGCCGTCTTTCCCGGGTGCTATCTCCCTTTTAGCCGATGGGGGGTCCTGTCTGTGTCCCACCGCCTGACGGGTATCGAGTCGGGCCGAACATGCGTGCCGCTACGGAGCAAAAATACAGACAACGCAAATCGCAGTTCTTCTCCTCAGGCAGTAGCGCGGTCAGCGAAGCGCCGGTCCGTCCGCGGCGCGGGCTGGCGGGCTGCATGAGCGCGGCCTTGGAGGAGGCGGGGTTTTGTTCCATGTCCCCGTTGACGGGTATCCGGGCGCAGCTCAGGGCTGACGGGTACAACCCCCCGGAGAGGCGCAAGAGTAGCACGTTTCTAAATAATTAAGTTCCCACGTTTATCCCCGCGCGATTATCGCGGGGAATTCTCAAGTGGGCGTTCGCCTGGTCGCAGGAGTTGCATCCGGGGAGGCCCATCCCGACAGGATCACGGCGGGCCGGCGCGCGGTCGGCGGCGTCTCCGGCCGTCCGCGGGGACGCGGGCCCCCCCTACCCCGGGGCCTGTGCGGCTTCGAGCCCCGGTCCACGCGCGGAGCGGGAGGCACCCACCTATGCGGCGCCGGTGCCGGGAAGCGGGATCTGCGCGGGCGTGCACACTAGCTCTCGGAACAACGGCGCGTGGCGCCCCTTTCTGGCGGGGTCGCCACAGGGGCGGAGCCAGGGTGCCCGGGAAGCCGCTCGCGCCAGCGGGCGGGGCGGGGGGGCCGCGAGGACTTCGGCGCGCGCGGCGACTGGCGGCGGGATCGTGCAAGGACCAGAGACGCCGCATTATGCGCGGAGTCGGCGCTGCGTCGGAAAGAGGGAGGGGCTGGGGTCGGCTGGAGGGGTCAGCCTCTGGCGTGAGGTGGGGGGAGGACAAGGAACTTCCTGTTAAGTGGGAGCAGTTGGGATTGGGGGCGGGGCGGTGCGGCGAGCGCGGTGGCATGCGCGAAGTCCGGCAGACTGCGAGGGCGGCCCACCGCCCGGGGGCGCCGCCACGTCGCGGGGGGGCAGTGACAGGGGTGGGAGCGCGAAGCGTACGCCGGGCCGCGCCCGGCGCTGGGGGGCAGCGGCGGGCGCGAGTTGCGGCGGAGAAGCCGGGAAAAACGGGGCGCCCGAGCGGCGGTCTCTCGGGTGCGCCCAGTAAAACAACGTAAGGCGGGCCCCCGCCCGCGCCGCAGGGGGACGAGCTCGGCCGCGGGCGCTAAGGGCGGGGGGCGGCCGGGCGGGGGGCGGACCGCGGGTCCCCGAGGAGGCGTCTTTCATTCTCCAGCGTGGGGCGCGTGGGGCGGGTAGTTCGGGGCGGCGGCGCGTGCTCTCCAAATGCGCAAAGAATCTAGCTGACCGGTAGGCCGCGGCCCGTAGCCGCCGGGGGCCGCGCCGGGCGCGTGGCGAAAAACAGAACCCGCGAAAGCGGTGCGGCCGCGGTGGGCCGGCGCGTGCACGGCGCGCCGCGAGATCGTCAAAATGAACAAAATAAATCACCGGGGCGCGGCAACCCTCGGGGCGGGTGCGCGTTGCGGGCAGCGGCGGCATGGCGGTACAGACGTTGCGCGCGGTCGCGCGTGCTGAGCGACACAAGGGGTGGGTCAGGCTCGCGCGAGCTCTCGCCGACCCGAGGGTGCGCGCCGGGAGGCGTGCGGCGCGGGCCACTGCGGCGTTGGTTGTCGCCCCGCGGTGTGTGCCGGAAGCCGCAGAGTCCACCGGTTAGTAGACGAGCTGGGGGAGCTCAAGTCGCGAGGTCCGGCGCCTGCGGGATCGGGCGGCCCTGCGGCGCGGCCTTCGCATACTTGGTGGCTAGGGGACGGGGGGGGGGGGGGGGGGGGGGGGGGGGGGGGGGGGGGGGGGGGGGGGGGGGGGGGGGGGGCACGCAGCGCCTCCGCGGTTCGGGTGTCGCGGCACATACCGCAAATCATGATGCTGCAGCGGCGCGGGGTGCGTGCGGCGCCGGGCCGGACGCTGGCGCGAGGACGTATGGTTTGTGTCGAGCGCCCATGCGGCAAGGTGGCCGGCCCGGCCGGGGTCTGTACTGAACCGTCGCGTAGGTCGGCGGGCGAGAGTGCGGCGTCGCGGCCGTTACGACGTAACCCGAGGGACGGTGCGGCGAGGGAAGCGGTCAGCCGCGGCGGGGCACGGGGCGGGGAACACCACGCCGCGGGCCTTGCATCGAGCCCATTGCGGCGGGGGGGCGGGTGCGCCCGCTCAACGGTCACAGGGCCGGTGCTCTGGTGCGGGTAAGTGCGGGGGTAATGGAGACCGGGGGAGCGTGTGGCCCGCGTGGCGGTCCGTTTTCTACTGGCGGTGCCTGCGCCATCCGCACCAGAGGAAGACCGCGCGGGGAGCGGCTGGGGCCACTGTGCGGGGAGGGCGTGGCCGGATGAGAGTGTGGGCCGGAAGGCCCGAAGCTAGGGGTGAGGGGCGCAGTGGGTTAGGTACGGGAGACACGCACGGCAAAAGCGTAGCCTGATGCGGACCGTTCCAAGAGCAGGGCGGGGGGAGTGGGTGCAGGGCGGAGCCAAGCGGACGCCGAGAAATGAGCGGTGGAGGGCGGGGCGCGACGATCGGGGAGGGGCGGAGCCGGGTCTAGATTAGGGTGAAATAATGCGGGCGATGTGGGAAATTCATGAGCCGGGCGGGCCACCGAGCCCGGCGGCGTATGCGCGGATTGTGCATGCGGCGACTTCGGGGAAACCGCTGCGGACGGGATCGCGCGGCCCGGCAATCTCCGGGGCGGCGGGCGGGGCCGCCAGGCGCCCCGGGCGGGATCCAGACGAAACGGAACAAGCAGAGACGGCGCGGCCCGCTTGCGACGGGCGCGTGCGCGGGAGGGGGGCGGCTGGGGTCGAGGACCACAGCGCGTGCCCCGAGGCGGGCGCGGCACGGGTCGCGCGGGAGTCAAGCGCTGGCGGCCGGGGCCATGTGGCCCGCGGAGCGATCCCGGAGTGAGAGAACCGGCGGGAGTTACGAGTGATTAGAAGCGGAACAGCGGCTTGGGGAAATGAAGCGCAGCGGAATCGGGCGGCGGGCCCGGCCGGGGGGGGGACAAGCGAGTCGCTAGTCCCGGCATCGCGACCGATCGCGTGGAGCGCGGAAGGAAAGTCGTCATTTTGATGAGAATCCTTAATCAGTTCCGGCGTCCAGGGGCGGGGGCCGGTACTAGGGGCGCGGGGGGTCTCGGACCGCTCGCGTGGTGCGGTCGCTCGCCCGTCGGGGCGCGAGCGGCGGACCGCGAGTTTCAGCAGTTCTCGACCAGGGGGCGAAATAAAGGATCAAAAGGCGGAAAGGGTCGGCAGGTTTTTTCGTGTGTCGGCGGCTGTAGTACCGGGCGCGGGGCGGCGGGAGGCGGCACCTGGCGGCCGGGGCGTGATTTTGTCCCCCCAGCTCGGCCGGCGGCCGCATCGGGACTCGTCCGTGCCAGCGGACGGGCATGTTTCCTAGGCGAAGCTTTTTCCGGACGGTCGCTGCGGCTGTGCTAAACAAATCCGGGCGGCCGAACCACTCATGTCCCGCAGGGTCTCGAGTGTCGTGGCGGCGAGGGGGCCGTCAGGGGGGCCAGCTGATCCACAGATCTTTCCGCAGCGGCCAGCTCCCCCGAGTAACGGGAACCCCGGATTGAGGGTGGGGACGCGCTGGAGGTCGTTCCAACCGCTACAGTCATCAGTGCGAGCGCCGGCGGTTCACGCAACCCCGCTGTACGCAGAAGGGGGGACTTATCCTGAAACTAGGGGTTGCGCCGGGGCCGCGCGGGCAACGATTGATGCTGGAAACGTGAGTCGTGTTTCGTGGGCGCGACGCGACCCCCTCCCTGCCGGGGCGGGCCGCCAGGGATCACCGCGCCCGCCGGCCGCGAGAAGAGGGCGTCGGTGGGGCCGGGACGCCGAGCAGTCGGGTCCTCTCCGAACGGACGGTTCAGATCAGTACAATGGGGCGGGCGCCGCAGAGTACGGGACGGCATGCGTCCCGCCTTAGTTAGAAGGGAGGTGTCCGGCCTAGCGCCGGCTTCGGCGCGTACCAGCGGCGGAGGCCTACGCGAGCGCTTGGTGCGAGTGGTCCCAGGGCGCCGCCTACGGGAATCCCCGCGCGGCTAGCGAGGCGGCGGGTGCCCACCTGCCGGCGCTGCGGCCGCACGCCTATCCCGAGCGCGGTCGGGGACACGCTGGCGGCACATGCTTGACACTGCACGTGTCGCGAGATACGCTGGTCTCGAGGAACAGCGCGTTTGAGGGCGGGTATCCCTGATAAAGTACGCCCGGCTAGACGCACCAGAGTGGTTACCGGGTACTTTTCTCAGGTGGAACTTTTTCCTCAGGCGAAGTTTCGCGGTAATCTCCATATCACTTCGTCGAGCGGCGTACCCGCGTCAGTCCCAAGGGTTTCCGGGCGCGCGGAACGGGCGGCGAGTGACCCGAATAAACTCATCCCAACGCGTCGGCGTCAGTAGGCGAAACGACGCGAAGAACAAGTCCCCTCAAGCCGATAACAAGTTCATCTCTCGCGAGAACCGGGTTAAGGATCTCAATCACGGCTTGTGATTTCTACCTTGGCGCAACGGGTCGTCGATAGGCCGGGTTGTTATTCTTCATCAGAATGCTGCATTCAACGTGATCTTAACTGTTCAAAGCGGTCAGAGGCAGCTGAGAAAAGAGCCAATCACCACGTCGGCTTGTTGCGGAGAACATTCGGAAGTATCCACCCACCCATCTTCAGAGGATATACAATTCTTATATGCGCCCACCTCTCGAATATGCCAACAAAGCTTGGCAATCTTGACTGAAACGCAATTTAGATGTGATAGAGAAGCCACTACGCAAGGCCGCAAAGAACGTCAAGGGTCTATGAAACCTGTCCTGACGTAGCGGCACGGAAAACAACGATCAAGCAGGAGACTGAAAAGCCACTAGAACGAGGGAGGCTCGAAACGGGCGCAGATACCATGGACGAGATTGGACAGCGCAACCCCAGGCCAATAATACGAGCAGAGAGCGGAACGCGAGCAACGAACGAGAACATGCTTGATCCAAAGAGTGCTGAGAAGTGGTCGATAGGGCAATTAAGTAAACAGAAACACCTTTGTCGGTGCATCCTGGAGTAACCCCAAGCCAAATAACGCAATCAAACTCAAGCAAATCAAGAGCTTTAGCACAACTTCAGGCTGGTCAGAATGCGAGTTACGGAAGCAAAGCTACGGGGTCAGACAGGCAGCCAGGGCCATGAAATATTTCGGCGGACGAGGCCCGAACGTGACATGTTGTGTTTCCTTGTGTATGTTGTGTAGCGGGACGAAGACATGGTCGAGAAACGCACGCGTGCGCACAGCTTGTGAAAACCGTGGTCGCATGCAATAAAAATTGTGCTTTTTTGTCTCTTCATTCTTGCTAAACTAGCAGAAAAGGCTGAAGTAACTGAGTTTTCAGTGGCCGCTACCGAACGCTGCGAGGCGATCACATATTAGTCTACAAAAGATGGTGTGACACTAATCTGCATGTCGTTACTTGCT